TATATATATATAGAACTTCAAATCTGAATGAAATGAAAGAAGAAAGTAAAATATAGAGGGGGATTTTATCGTCGGGTTAAGTTACTATATAATCACCGGCCATATCACTCGTCATACCTTAGCTTAATCGTTCCACTGATATTCATTATCGATCAGGATTATTATATTGACGCTTGTGTTCGCGAGTTACACGGATTTCGAAGCTTCCCCGAGGTACTTAGGAGTTTACGCTTCGTTCATTTATTGAGTTACATGCTAATCGAGTTTCAAGCAAGTGATGGTTTATAGCAAGAGTTGCGTGCGCGTACATATATCCTCTGCCATTTTATAGCTCACTAAAATGAACGAATTCCAGCCCTCACTTTATTGTTTCACTATTTAGTATTATACGTTCTCGGTAAGTGTAGATTTATTCCTTGTTAAGTACGACGGCCTCTTACAGTTCATAGAAATTATCACTCTTTTATGCTAATTTATTATATTATATCAATTCTACCGACTTAACTTTACATTCGCAGTAATTTACTATTCGAAACCAGAAAGTTATTTTTTTTTGTCTACGGATAATTTATTGCGGATATGTAAAACACGAAATGTAATAAATAAAAGAAGAAAAGAGTCGTATATGCATGTCGAAGGAAGGGCCAGAAAAAAAGAGATAAAGTATAGGAATAAATGGGATCGTTAAAATTCAGGAAAACAGTTCGTTATTTTGAAAATACGAAATTCATTGAAAAGGTATTCAACTGTCTCCCGTGATGCACCAGCACACAATCGTAGACTCGATGGCCGCAGTTTTGAAAGAACGGCTGACACGGATTTTTCTCAGCATTGCTAGCCCGATGATAAATCGCGTCGCTTATCGTCCCTGACATCGTCTCGGTCCTGCGTTTAAAAGCTTAAAGAGCACTGATCGTAAAGTGTTTTTCGCGGATCGTAAGCGCACAGAGGAATCGATTGTGCGCTTTTCCATGATGGAAAAGATTGAAAAAGAACAAGGGGAAGGAGGGAAGCCTTGATGAGAAGAGAAAAAAAAACTAGGTGTTCCGCGTGCGTTTAAAAGTCCAAATAATTTCTATTTTAATCGAAAAATCTATCCTATTATTTCTTCTTTTTTCCAATTGGAATCTAAGGGCTCGAAAATTGTGACCGCTTACAAATTGAATAAATAGACAAGGGTGGACTATCGATCACTCCGGTCGTTTAATCGTAGCAAAAGTTTAGTTCGACTTTGTATAACGATCGCGTTATTTATTTAGCGGTTACCTTACTAATTTAATTGGAAAAGTTCCGGTGCGGTTACCGTCTTACAACCCATCGTCGAACCAATGTATCGACTCGCTCGGCGATTATGACAGCTAAAGCTTCGCGAATCTCGGTACGCCTTCGGCTAGTAATTACATTCGAATGGAGCTAATTACGTTTGCCGTCTCTTAGCGATGATAATCCCTTCGTTTGTGTTATCTCTCGATCAATTTCGAATGAGTTTTCGCGAATGTTACGCGTGTTTTCGAGTAATCCTCTCTCTCTCTCTCTCTCTCTCTCTCTCTCTCTCGTAAGAGGTCGTACTAATAAGAGTTTAATGAGAGCGAATAAACCACGTAATTGTTCTACCTACTCTCCCTTAATGATCTTCCTTCGTTCCTGTTCATCGGCTGAAGTTTCTTTATCGAACTTACGTACCACGTTATTTTGCTGTTATGAAAATAGCTTATTCGATTTGACGTTAATTCCTATGCTTGGTAATTAATTTCATGTTTATCGGATTTATCTTGAATCCCTCTCACGTCGATAGGGATATTTTTACTTTTGTTTTACCTTTTCGTTGCAACGAAATGTTCATTTTCGCCTCCCAAAAATAATATATAATTATATTAGAATATAAATTGTATTATAAGTTTAACATTGTGTGTAATTTTTGTGGTTTTGACGTGGACAGAGGGAGTTTAGATAGATTGAGATTTAATTTACACTCTTGCGAGAGATAATAGTTTATATTATATGAGACCGGATTATCGCTTTTAATCGAGCATAATGGTAAATTGTTTTTCATATAATGTACGAAAATGAACGCGTGATGTTAAATAAATACCGTTCTTATAATTTCCTCTTGAAAGATATTCAATTTAACAAACAAGTTGTAAGTTACGACTTTGTAACTAATTAAAACTGTCTTGGAACGGATTTCCTGCACCGGAAAATTCGACGTTGCTTTACTTTAGAGAAATATACCAACTATTTATGGTAAATTTTAATCATGCCGACGTGCACGTCTTCATATTTTCCATAAACGTAGTGTACCGTGTGCTAAAATTAAGAAACGATTTATTCAATCGTACATGACAAATATACTTCCCTTCACGTTCGTAGATGCTACTTATTTGTATTATTTCTTATCTTCTTCTCGCAGTGAACCTCGAAAAGTCTGTATAACGTCAATTTCCATGCAAACTCTACTCGTAGATAACTAAGATTTCCGAGCTTACAACAGGAACGTTGAAGATAACGATACCTCAAAAAATTGGACAGTGTATCCTAATTAAAGGATTACGAGTTTCATTCGAATAATGCACGCGTATAGACATCTAAAATAGAAAAATGAGAATGAGAAAGAATGACAGACAGGATGAGGAAAGAGAGGAGAAATGAGATAGGACATGAGTGCTCGAAAGAGACGAGAAGATATATAGTCACGTACAGCGTCGTTCTGAATAAATTTAGGATTCTATATTTTACAACGTTAGATTTTTTTTTCTATAAGTTTCCCTTACAGAAATATCCGAGTTATTAGATCATAAATTTGTACGAGTATATTTTCCTCGTATTTTTGCAACATTGCACAAGTATAATGAAAGTTTAATTTAATAATATAATATCTTGTAATATTTTTTGTTTTGTTTCAGCTTACGAAGAATTACGCGAACGTGATTTATCGAATAATGAAACGAGAAAGATGAGTAAGTTAAAACGTTGACACAGGTGAAAAATCCAAATTTGCTAATAGACTAATCTCGCGATACGTGATATGAATCAAAGGGAAACGCGCGTAGGCGTTAGACTGAACAAATTTCTAACAAGGTCCAATCGATCATCGATAAATGGTGTTTTAAGTCGATCAGTTCGGAAGAAAAGTGCGAGAGCTAAAATGTTATCGGTGAAAATCGCACCCTTACGAGAGTCCACCAGGTGGTAAATCTTCGATAGAAGTAGCTGAAGCAGTTAATTGAACTCGATGATCGGCTCGAATGGTAAGTTTTGGAATAACAAAGTTTAACTTAAGTAATATCTTTTCCTTATCCACCAGACGGTGAGCTAAACTTTGAAAGACTATGAAAACGATTATAAAGATTATTGAAATATCGAATTATCGGAGGAAATTCATCTAGAGACTTTTCTCTCCAACTATTGTAAAAACTGAAAAAGTTTGATCATTCCATATGTACATATGTGCATCTATGATAGAAATAAAGAAATAGAAAATTGCAGAACTAACTTATGTTAGTTTGAAATAAAATCTAATCGAAGAGAGCACGCAGTTTTTGTTCGGCCTTTCGCACTAATGGCAAATAGAAAAATAATGATTTGTTATAAAATTGATTGAACGAAATAAAATCTCTTTGAGAGGGAATAAACATTGATTATTTGATTTAGCGATTCGTCACGTAACGTAATAACGTGGAGTATATTAAGAATCGATCGAAAATAACGAAAGATGAAAGAAATATCGAATGAAAAATAGGGAAAAGAAACGAGCTACGTCGATAAGGAAGAGAAATTATCGAGAAAAGTAATACGTGCGAAATAGCTGATCCACGTTCTCTCCCGAGAACTCCTGAGATCCTTCGTAGCATTCCTTCTTCTCGCAAATGACGACGAGAAAGACGTGATCCTGTTACGCGACGCTGAATTTTCAGCTTCCTTTCCGAGCCGATAAGTACTGATTTCCATAATGGTTCCACGTACGAGTGCACTCAGTTACATTCTCCTCTCTATCTTCCTCCCTTTCATTGCTAGACATTTCTTCCTTCCCTTATCTCCATCGATCACTTTACCCCTCGTCTTATCACCTTCTTTAATGACTACCTATTATCTTATCACGATTAATTAGTACCAATGTGTGATTATTGTATAGATCGTGATGCGTATTCTGCAGACAATAGCATAAAAAGATCATTCGTAGATGCAAACGTATATGCAAACGTATATGCAAACGTATATGCACATCTAAGAGATTCAATCGAAGATTCTGTTTATATGCAAATGTCTCATCCTATAAATATCTCTCTAGCAATTGCTTACCGACTTACCTACGGTAATATAAATCGATGCAAGAGATGTAGTTTGTCAGAGACTGATTAATTTTCCACCGATAACTAGCATAACCAATCTATCTATGTATAGCTATATGAAAACGTCCAGTAGGACGATATAATAAGACAGGTAAGATCTACCTCTACCTCGGTGAGTAATGAACGCGTTAATTCGTTGCCCCGGCCAAGATTCCACGCTCCTGAGAATTTATGAGGAAAGATACGACGAAATGCGCGATTTAATACCATCCTAGACAACAAAAATCTCTTTTTTCTTCCTCCTCTTCCTCCCCATCCTCTTCTTTTTAGCCTTTCAACGTCATTCGAGATCTTTGCTATTCTCTCGTTGTTAAAACGTTATTTTCTCGGCTTGTTATCGTCGGAAGTTGCTCATAAATTCTTATAACGACCAATATACTCTCTAACTTGTTAATAATCGTTTTCTTCGCCGGCTTAATTAACGTTTCCACGAAATATTCATTGGCCGTTGTTCCGAGGATCTAAAGTTTAGTGATTTTCCTAGAGAGAATACTCTTCTATCAAAACATCCTATCTCTTATTAGAAAGCATAAACCACGCGTACTAATCATATCGAAATAGAACTTGGCACCGTTTGAAAAGTGCAATTTTGTTGTTCGCAATTTTTCAGAGGGGGCGACAAGGGCGGCGATGGGCCCTTGCGTCGTTTTCGGCAGGTAATCGTCGTTGGTGCAGGGTGGCTAAATGAAGAGGAATCGTTTGGTGGGCCGGTGATCGATAGCGGAGCCCGCTTGTCGCCGTGCGAGATTTGATTCGCGATGGAATTCCTTCCGCTGCTATTACTTTGGCTCCTGATCCTTGAGCCAAGCGCCTACTCGCTCTCGATCAAGAACAGCCTCAACCCGCGGATCGTGCAAACTCGATACGGCGAGGTTCGAGGCTTGATCAGGTCCTTCGAGAACGCCAAGTTCCTCAAACCGATCGACGTCTACCTTGGAATACCCTACGCTACGCCACCCGTTGGGAGCAACAGATTCTCCCCGACAAGAGCGCCGAGCCCTTGGGAGGGTGTCAGGTTTGTTCACATTTTTTTTTCGCTTTTTTCGAATTCTTTCATTCGCTAAAGGAGCACACATTTCTAAGCTACCGCGCGTAAATTATCTACCGTTAAATGTATCTGCCAAGTTAAGTCGCGAAAAATATGAAAACTATTATCAAAAATTCAGTAATTGTAAGCCTCGTAGACTCGTAGAAAAATAGAAAAAAGAACGAAAAAAGTTCACGATTCACGCTTACGTGCAATGAGAGTCCTTCTTTTCTATCTGTATTTACGATACACTCTTACAATTTATGTACGACGTGAAATAACGAAAGATTTAACTGCTCGAGGGAACAACTTATATCTCTTGAGTTTCATCTTGCCAATATCGGTGAATCTATAACACAAGATCGAACGTACTCTCTTACGATCGCTACACTAAATTTATCTTCTTCCTATTTTTTTTATTAGATTTAAAGATGGCCCATTCATTGTCACTTGCTCGTGTTTTTTACGATCTTCATATAAAACGATCGAAATAATAAATGACAAGACCCCTATGAATGATGGACTCTTAACTATTCCCAGAGAAGAACGATGTTCTTCCTTTATATATACAAAATACTTTGATGTTATTTCTAAACTTAAAGATGATAGGACGAAATCTTTCCAGATTGTCAGATTCGGTCGGTCCGGTTTGTCCTCAAAAACTTCCAGACATCTCGAACGAGCAAGAGGCTCTCGAGCGCATGCCTAGAGGAAGACTGGAATATCTGAAAAGATTGCTACCTCATTTGCGAAACCAAAGCGAAGACTGTCTATATTTGAACATCTACGCTCCTGCTATGGGTAAGTCAAGAGATTTTCATTTGGATAGTATTCTTTGCGATAAGGATCTCGTCGTTAAAAGAATCATTATCGACGTGCTTTCATTCCAAGAAAAAAGATACAAAAAATGAATCGTCGATTGATCTTTGAAAAAAGATATCAATTTAGATATCTCGCGTCGTCGTGTAACTTACCCAAATTTGGATTCGTGGCATCGAACGGAAAGGAAACAATTTGACGAGGTTGTACCGTTATATTTTAACGCGATAAAAATGACTTTCGTAATGGCGTAATATCACGATAAAAGACATATATATATATGTATGTAGAAATGAACGATTCCAAATGAAACGACAAAAGTAAGTATATATGCGAGGCCATAGCTCTTTGTGTTATCCGCGTGTGCATCTAACCGCATAAACACTCGCATTTCTCTGCTCACTGATCCCCGAAGAAACGTTCTTTTCTTCCGCATTTCGTCTATGCGAACGGCGAACGATTACGGAAGAAAGAATACCAATTCTGCTTCCTTCCTTTCTACGAGTTCTTCCCGTTTAATCCACTCCTTTGAGAAAATCGAAACTACGAGCCCATTTCGAACGTAAACGATACTCTTTTATCATTTGACATTAAATTTCGGCTCTGATTTCATTATCCTTTATTTTTCCTATTAAAAAAATCCCTCCTAATCGTTTATAACATAAAGTTTATTACGTTATGTATCATTTAGTTTTCGTATCTTCGCGTAGAAAGGAAGAAACACGTAGGAAATAAAAGTATATCCCTTGATGCGATCTCTTCCCCTTATCAGGATAAAATTTGGTACTCCCTTTGAAAGCTGCCTGTGGTTTTATTCTCTGGCAGACCGTATTATTTTGTAAACGTGAGTCTACTGCCGATGAAAGAAAAGAAATACAAGAGGAATTCGTTGAAGATGAGTTTAACGAAACACTTGGCACCCGAAAGCATTCGAGGCCATGGAGGCATCCAAAAACTCGTTCGAATCTAGGACAAACCATTTTTATCCCCACCCGGTATCACGGCATGCACGTTCGCGTTTCGACAATGAAACATCGAAAGGTAAATGTAAACCGGAAACGGATGCAGAGAGGGTGGCAGAACAGCGCTCGCGTCAAAGTATTCGGCTGGTTGGCTGGTTCCTTTGCAAAGACTGTGGAATACAAAAGCACCGATAGCTCGAACCGCTCGGAACTAGATCGTAAATGTAACTCTACCAACTTTGCTCTTCGCGTTCACGTTTTTGCCCTTATTCTTCATCTTCGTTTTACCTTTTCCCCTACCTTTTTATCGCGAGAATGAAAACGCAAAGGGTCGTTGTTAAACTGCATGATGCGATTACGAATATTCGTTCGATCAAATGCAGCAGCGCAGCAGCATTTATTATTACAAATTAATAAGCGCGCGATCGCGGGTGATTATTAATTATATTAATATATAAATGTAATTTATCTCGGTGCGCGAAAATTAATTTCAATAATAATGAAAAAAAGGGACGCATTTTTGAATGAATAAACGATTGGCACAAATAACGAATATTTATTTCCTCTCGTATTTAGTTGGATACGAGCAGTCTATCGAGTAGTCTATTTCATTTGAAAGATCTTCGTTAATATCAAGGATCATTATCAAAGGAAATGAACGTCAAGATATTCGATCTTGAAGTCAGAGCTCTGGTGGTACGTTCCTCTCTGCTTATGTAGCTCTCTGTTACGCGTAACGCAAGTAGATCGTCGAGTTGGATGGTGCAACGGGTCGTGGCTCGTGAGTCGTGCCTAAGTGCCATCCGAACCACAAGAGTGCCTCGAGCTCTCCTACCTAGCCCATCTATCTACCTCTTCTACCTAGCCCTTCCTTCTACTTAGCCCTCCTCCCACCCTCAGGGTGTTCATTTGCGTGATACGCGGCGCCCACCGAAAAACATTTTTCACGATACTCCTCATCGATCTCCTAAATAACCAATTGATTAAACATTACACTATTATTTCATTCATAACTTTTCCAATTATACTTGCACGTTGGTTAACCGTCAGGATACAAATGATTATTATTATTATTATAAATTCCATTAAATAGATCAACGCGTTCTCAATTAATCAACTAAATTACATTAAAATATGTAAAGATTTAAATACGTTGTATGGTGCTTTGATAATTGTGTTTTCCAATTGATATAGAAAATGTTTCTTTCGTTATCCTATAAACAATATATTCTCTATTCTTGCTATTATCGATAATTAATCTATTTGTTAGTCTATTCGATAAAGGATGATTCTAAATGAAACGTATCGATTCCAATTGCAGTCTGTTTTCGGCTCGTTTCATTTGGTAGCATGGCAAAGAGAGTGACGATAAAGATTACATCGTTCTATATTGGATTTGAATTATCTACAATCTTGATGATCTTTTATTTGGATAGGAAAAAAGAGAGAGTGAAGAAAATTTGTATTTTCCAAGTATTCGAAGGTAAATGACAGAAGGAGTAAGCGGGTTGAAAGGAGTTTTGCAAAAAGTTAGGGATTCGATTATTAATTCGCGGTCTAAGAAACTTCTTCTTCTTCTTCTTCGGGTCTCTCTCGTTTCATCTACCTCTGACTTTTTCATTTTCTTATTGTTAGACCTTTTTCTTCGTCGTCAGTCGTCAGTCGTCAGTCGTCATCGTCGCGTTTCTTTCATTCGAGGAAAAATATTCTACCTTTTCTACCTTAGAACTCTTTCGCCGAAAGAAAGAAAAAGAGGAACGTGCGATCGCAAATTACTCCGACTTCGGAAAGTTTGAAAAACGGTAAGTACGCTGAGTGCTCGTGCATCAATTTAGTTCCGCTGACTTTTGACGCGAATGTCCGTCCATTCTACTCGCGTTCCATCTTTTACCCTCTTTCTCTATTTCTTTCTTTATTTCTTTATCACGGTTCGGTGGTATATCCTGATAACGAGACAAATATGCATCCAGGGTGCAAAGCCCGATACGAAAAATATCCGTTCACTTTTCGCTAAAATTTATGCGAACTCGATGTACTTTTACTCGCAAATGAAACGCCAGATATTCCTACCGATACAGAAGGGAAATGTCGGGGATTTTGGAATTTGTTCCATCTATTTTTTTCTTTTACCTGAAATTAATGCCGAAGAAAAGAAAAAATAATTGTTCACGCGGTCGGATGGATTTGGAAAAATAATGGCTTTTGTGATTGGTAAAATATAATTCGTGTTATCTCTCGAATATGTAAAAGAACCTTAGAGTCCACGTATTATCTATGTTTCATACAGTAAAATGCATAAATATGTATAATTTTATATATTGGAGATTTACGTATCTACCTACGTATATTCATTTAAAAATATTCAAACTCATATATCCGATTTATCAAGAAATAAAAATGAGAGATAATACTACAAAGTAAAATGATCCCAAAGTTAGCGTTTAAAGTATATATCCATTAGGAATCGTACAAAATATCGAATCCTTCTTGATGCACGATGGTAGTAGACGAGCTACTTGACATTTATCAAACAATGCTGGAATTATTTAGCGAGAAAAACATCGCTAAGGATAGTACCATTGAGGATCTCTCGGGGGTGGAAAGTCTCTTCTTACTCTTGATCTCCATTTCTGTAAAGTCCTTGTCTTAATTAATTATTCCATAAAGACCGCAACGCGTGGATCGCGCCAAGAAAAAAAGCAGAAAAGAAATAGAGTTCCATCAAATTTCTTCCATCCCCGGCAAGAAAAAGTACTTGCAGTTGCATTATATTTAATGGAAACGCAAATTATTTATTTATTCTACGTTGCATGTTTTTCCCCATGCGCAAAGGGATCCCAAATAGGAATTATTAGCAGGTACATATTACTTTTTATTAGTAGACTCTGATTCGGAAGGAATTATTTGAGTTGTTTTGGAAGGAAGACGTTAACGAAAAGCACTAATACCTAGTCACTCCCGCGGCTATTATTCTTTTCTCGGTGTTTGAACGAGTGCCAGAGTGGCAGGGAAGAGAACAAACGCATCGAGCCGAACAAGTAACTGGAGGAAGTTGAAAGGAAGTCGAGGATAGAGAAACTGCTAAAGGTAACGCTTCTTCTTTTCTCTCTAAGAGAGATCGAGAAAAGCGGACGTTTTCGTTCGTTACACATCGTCCCGATTAAAAAACGATTTTAAGGATGATTTACTAGCGACCCAAATTGAATCGCTAATCTAAGTTTGAGAACTTTCCGCAGGGAAATGGCTAGAAGGCGAGCTGAATTATAACCTCTGGAAATAGATGTCATTGACCTCTTCTGAGTTTAGAACCTACTGCCTTTGAAAATTTCAAATTTCATTCCTCTCGGAACAAGTTTAGAACTGAAAACGTTGAAACTGCATTCGAATAATCGATCAAGAGTATCGATACAGTTCTCATTTAGAATTCAAAACAAATTTATAATAGAATTTGCATGAAATTAGAAAATAAAGAATAAATATATAAATAAAGATCGCTATCTTCATTACTAATATAATTGTTTTCATCATCGCCATAATGGTAATAGTTGAAACGGTAAGGATGCCTTTAACCGCCGAAACATCTATAAGATCTCTATAGAACGCGAAGAAGATTGTTTCCGCCAATTAAAGCTCACCTCCGATCGAATTTTTTCCTCTAATGTAAGATGCCCTTTACTTTACTTTATTTCCATCTCTTTTACGCTACAACTTTGAATTTAATTCTTTAGTACGTTCAAAAGGGGATGCCTTGAAAGAAAGAGATTGTAAAAAGGAAAAGTTACTTTTCCTGCAGTATCGCGATACTCCTTTCGCATAGAACCAAGGTAAATATGTCTCCGGTGAATTATTTAAGAACGTCTTTTTATGTCGAGAATGGTTTTATCGCTCGGTAAATATGGTCTCCGATGTTGTCGCACACCCCTTCGATCGAAACTTCGATCGAAACTTCGATCGAAACTTCGATACGTCGAATAATATTCTACGATTTACTATGACTTTCGTATCAATTTTCAGCTTGAC